TATTTCTACCTCTTTAAGAATTGCTGCAAACTTGTCAAAACATTCGTCGATGACATCAGAGGGGATGATCACAGGGGGTTTGATGAGAATGGATTCTACATTCCAATTGGTTTTCTTGTCTAACTGGCCCCGGTCACAGTAGTTGCACCGTAAAACAAGGAAGAGAATACCAATCTGTACAATCATTGCATGATACACTTAATAAACATTTGTACCGATACGACGGCCATTTTGAATTCTATCGTCGTAATCAAGACATTATGGGATGCCGAGGGGGCAACTATTGGAAAATGTATAGACTGCAAAGCTGTCAGGGTGTCTTTTTATATTAGCCAATCCGAGGTTGAGGAAAAAAATAGTCCGAGTTGGCTTTGCAGTACATTGTGGGACTGCTTTAGGGGACTTATTTCCAAGATGGCGTCTCATTCGTCCCTAAAATAGACCAAATCCACTTGTGCGTAATGTTTTTCCATTTCATGATACTCTAGGAAATGACATATGATCTGAAATGGGAAAACATTACGCACAAGTGGATTTGGTCATATTTGAAGAGGATTCTTGTACTTGTAGCATCAAGACGTGTAGACTCCTTGCAGCACATCGGAATGCAGCTCAATTTGGAGGGCAAAACAATATCAAGTATCAAGTATTATACCTTCTGATTGAACGCCTTGTGTCTAGCCATTGTCACAATTCAGCTTTACTTTCTCAARTCTTCTTTCTATTTCGTCCTCGAAGGCTTCTTTCAGTTGCTGTCAAAGAAAACCATGCTTTTAATTTTAGGAAGCACTGGTGGTGTTACTGATGCGCTGCCACTCATGGTAAGACCTTTAATGACCTCTTAAAACAGACCTAGATTCGTTATGCTTGATCACTAATATCAATCGTTTAGCGTAACCACAGGGCCAACAGGAGAAACAGTGCGTATGCGCACAATTTTTAAATTAACTCTCTTAAAAGTACTGATAAAAAGGTAAATTATACGCCGTGAAAAGATGGAAAAACTTACTGACGTTTCGGAAGCTAGTCCTTCGTGGGAGTAAAAGAGAAAAAGGTGGTAGAAAGGAGTGTTTATATGATAGAATAAGACTAGCGTCTGAAACGTCAGTCCGAAACGTCAGTTTTTTCATCTTTTCACGGTGTATAATTTACCTTTTTATCATTACTGTTTCATTAGAAACACCGACGCAGCTCACACTAGTTTTTAGCTAGTTATATCTTCGCTTAAAAGTATTGAAGGAATGCTTCTGCCGGCACTTCTGCATCTATAACATCCTGCAGCGGAATTTCTTATGAGATTCTTATGACAGTGTTATGATATAAACCCCACCTGCATTCCTTCTATAAGGTCTTCAGAATCCTGGAGTACTGAGTTTCTTTCCGCGACAAGTTCGTCCAGCCTGACCTTCAGTTTCGTGTTTTCTTGCTTCAAAGCGCGTACTCCATCAACATTTTTGGACAGGCGACCATGATGGCTACTGATTCGCCTAGTAAAAGGAATGGATCGTCCAATTGGTTTGTTATATGGGGATGGAAGGTGGGGGGTGGGGTAGAGCTTATGTTCTAGTTTTTATTCAATCTCGTGCCCAGAGCCTGCGTTTCTTCTGGCCTGCGGCGAATAACGAGATCTCTGGCATAATCCATTTTTTGGCGCAATTTGCCGGAAGTGAAATATAATCAATGAAAATCATGCTTTCAAAAAGAGTTATGGATTATGCCAGAACATTCGTTCTTCGCCGCAGGCCAGAAGAAGCGCAGGCTCTGGGTACGAGATTGGTTTTTATTATAGTTTTTCTTGCATGACATGCTCCGTGCTCTGAAGAAGCACAGCTTTGAACAAGTCTCGTATTCAATGCATACCGCTGTTTCTGAAGACTACAGACTCATTTGTATAGGCTTAGCCTTGTTTATAAGTCAGCTATTTACAGATACCATTATAAGTCCGTGGGATTTCAAAACATTGTTCAAGCTGCACACTCTTTACATTACAATTGACTTTCGTAAATGATTTGTACTAAAACAAAGTTAAAGTTGTACGATAGATGCTAGAGTCGATTGCTGGTTTTCACAGCCGCCATATTGGTTCAATTTAACAAAAGAATTAATCAGTCTCTTGTGTTATTTCAACTGCCGTGTCTTTTACAGGGGCGGCGGAAGCTGAAAATCTTTGGGAGGGGGGGCACTGCAAAAAATCTATGGGGGCACAGCAAAAAATCACAACAATAACTTAATAACAGTATTAAAAAGCGAATCTATGCATTTATATTTCATGTGAACGAATTTTTTTGGGGGGGGGGGGGGCAGGCCCCCCAAAAAATTCGTGCCCCCCCCCCCCGGTTCCGCCGCCCCTGTTTTATTATTTGACTCCGTCTGGCAAATGATTGACAATCACCTATTCCAAAGCGCGTGGGGAAAAAAAAACAGCCAAAAAAAAAAACAAAAAACAAAAAACAAAAAGAACTGAATAAGAAAAAAACTAAACACAAGAACGAATTGTCCGGCTAACCTTGTAAGGCATCCATCAGACTTTCGCCGAACACTCAAGTCTGTGTTTGTAGACTCCAAGGAAAGCATTTCCTCTGCGTCACCATTCTGCAACATGATGAAAGGTGTAAAAGAAGTAATAAAAGGAATAGACGTAAAGGACTCAGGGTATTATGATGACGATGATGATGATAAAGATGCTGCTGCTGATGGTGATGATGATGACGATAATGATGGTGATGATAATGATGATGATAATGATGGTGATGCTGCTGCTGCTGATGATGACGATGATTATTAGGGTGCAGACGTGCTGCGCCGTCACTGTGACAGCACAATGTTCGAGCATTCTGATTGGATGAGGAGTTATATCACGCGCTGTGATTGGTTCAAATGATGTTGACATAGATTTTTTATTGACACTCGAACATAAAACTGTTGTACGACTCACCTTGGATTCACACTCATTTAATCTGAATTTTAATTCAAAAACTTGAATCTAAAAATTAATAAAGATTCCATCAGAATTTGGTATGGAAGAATGTTGTATGGTCTTGTAGCAAATACAATGAAACCATACAGTATTTCTTATTTAACCACTAAAACACGATAACCAGATCAGCACGTTACAACATCTATCCCTGATCAAACCTTATAGACCCCTTGCCAGTAAATCTTTACTTGGGGATTAAAACAATGAAAAATATTTACATCAAGAGAGATTACAATTCTCAAAAGAAGGGAAGTCTTTTGTTATGACACCCAGAGTGAGAATGGACTATTTCGACGATGCGGCGGCCATCTTGAATCGCAAGGCATTATGGGTCGCTCCAGGGGGCAAAACAAAACGAATATGCTGAAATGACGACCCTACGTTATTTGAGATATTTCCTCTTCTGTACTTTTTAAGTTCATCTTTTGTCAAATTGTATTGTTATGAACCGTAAATGTCAACCATTATTTTACAAAGCTTTGTTTATTTGCCCCTAGCGACCCACAATGCCTTGTGTTTCAAGATGGCCGGTTTATAAGGGGGTTCATAAGGTGTTGATGTCGTAATGTGCAGATCTGATGGTCTACACTTGCCTTAAATAAGTCCCTCTCAGCCTCTAAGGTATTCCTCTCACTATTAATCCATCTCATGGCTTTGGGGCTTGGCTGACATAATTCTATTTCCAGCTTGGAGTAACGGGTATTCAGATCTTCATACTACACGATAAAAGGAAAGAGTGACAATGTTGTGTGACTTGTCACGCAGTTCTTCATACTACACGATAAAAGGAAAGAGTGACAATG